GTTACTAGGCATTACAGAGTAATTGCTAAGAGTAATTACAAAGCAACTTAATAATATTTAGGAAGACAAACTTAATTTCCATTTAAAAGAAAATATCTCTATAAATTATTTCTTTCTGGAGGCCAGAAGATACATATAGTTCAGCCTGCACTGGAATGTTCAATAATTTAATTTCTATTTTATAAAAAGAAGGGCAAAAACTGTGTTACTTTACTCAGTCTTAGGACTGAAACAAAACATTCACTAAAGTCAAAAGAAATTTTAGTGAGACAAACAAGAAAGAAGCTGGAGAGAGACTACGGTTTGTAACAACAAAACACTCAGAATTGTTCAGACTGGGATAAATGGAAAGACTTCAGGAAAATATGTGGCAGATGTTCAAGGGCAGTGAAGAAGCCACAGAAGAGAGGAGAGAGATCAGATTTTGAAGTTGAGCAAGCTTTGTTACTGGGGCTTCAAACCTGACTGTAGCTTAGGAATAATCCTGCAGCAGGAGGGAAAGGAAGGAAGTGAGCCAAGAAATCAGTTCTGACAATGACTCTGTAGTTGATTTGATTTTGTAGGACTTGGTAAATCACTTAAACTCAAGGGTTATCAAAACATAAAACAAGCTCTGAAAAGTTTATTTATTTGTATTAATAGTTACTTTTATTACTCAATTTCAGATTTTTAACTATTTTTGCCACTGATAATTTCCATTATGCTACGTTTGGATGAGAAAAACTTGCTAGTCTGTTGGATTAATTCTAACATGTTTTCAGTCAGTTTCTCTTTCTAAGAACTGTACTGAAACAAGAATGAAGGTCTGAGCTTGATCATGCAGTTTATTACAGCTCCCTCTTCCCAACAGCTCTTATGCACACACAGCCGCCCATTCAAATCCCTGAGACGATCTAAAGACACTTGGCAGTGTGCACCTGAGAGCCAGGTGAAAGCAAACATCTGCTACGGTCAACTGAACTTCACAACTGCGATAGTCTTTAACCTCACCTCAAAATAAAATGCTGAATATTTAACTTCTGTGCACAGCACACACGCTGCCATGTAAAGAGCCCATTTCTCTTATCCTCTGACTCAATTCCTTTAAAACTAACTATAACCTGTTTGAATTCAACTACAGGTCTGCAGATTATGCATACGAACTCCACATATGTTCTATACGCTTCTGCTATTTGGCACTATCACTCATCAAATAGACAAGTAGTAATCACACTTTCTAAATAATAAATAATACTGATTTGGTTCTTCTGCATAATGAATAATACTGATTTGGTTCTTATGCATATTTCTAAGTTCAATTCATCAAAATGTACTACCATCAGAGTTATGACTTCTCACGATAACACGACAACCATAAAAAATAACCTGCAATCAAAATTAACAGAATGGTTTCCAGTTCTTCAGAAAGAAGTTATCTACTCCTAGAATCTTCTTCAGAAACTTCCAAAATAATTTTGGCAAGACCCTGATGAGAGTATTTTATAAGGTTTCAGACTGTATAATAAAGCTTAGCAAACAGCATATTGGACAGTAAGCTCAAATGTGCAGACATATGTGGAAGAACTGATCAGACACACCAGTGCCAATACAGCCAACGTGGCTTGATGGAGGATCAGGGGAGGGAATAGGAAAGACATAAAAGACAGTCATTGGTTACAGAGGCATAGTTATCAGTTAATGCACTCTGCTTTCAAGATCAATCTTTAAATTGAATGAATCTAAATAACAGAGGGTTCTAAAGAATAAGAAATTTGGTTTGAAACAGCATTGTGAAGGTATCCAGCAGTATCATAACAAAGTCATTTCTTTAGGGGCCAGTTGTAGCTTCAAAGGAAAGATTTGCCTAGGGCAGAAACTCAGCACAGAATCTGCAACCCTGATTTTTAATTAGGAAAATTATGAAAGCAAAAATCTTTGCTATTCCAAAGAGAAGTTTTCTACTTTAAGGTACGTGAACTGACAAAATAATTCATCATTCTTGGTTGGTGACAACAGTAGATAAAGTATTTAGATATTAGCCCGTTTTTAATGCAGTACCTCTGGTAACATTAATGAGTGCTTTGCTGCCTGATTAGCAGCATCTGAAAGTCCCAAATATTTGCAGGACAAAAAACACCTTTATAATTAGATTAAACGTCTACTTTCAGAAACCTACTCACAGGATGACTTTTCCCCATAATAAACACATAAAATACCTGCAAGCACCACCTAATTAACCTTTGACACCATGAAGTGAGCAAACAGTAGCAGGAGAATTCAAGAAACCTGGCTTCCTCAAGCAAAGTGTAGATTCCCTTGGGTCTATTAAAATAGTCAGATTTATACCACAGCCTTTGCATGAGAGCAGAAGCAGAGGGACTGGATGAGAGACACAGATCTCATCATTCTTCTGTGAATTTCCACAATATTTTAAGGAGTTTAATAATGCTAAGATCTCTAACTCTCTCAGATTCATCAGAAAAGTGTCAACAGTAAAAATTATTCAGGTGACAAGGAAGATGGACAGACAAGAGAGGGAAAGATAGCACACTGGGAATAAACTAAAATGAAATTAAAATTAAATGTCTAATCATTCTGCCTAGCCTAAAATAGTTTGAGAAATCCACAGTTTCAGGTAGCAACAAGCATTTTGTCTGTGAAAATGAAGCCAATTCAAAACACTTCAAGAGGCTTCAAAAGAAGAACAAAGACTGACATTACTCTAAGGGAAGGCACTGAACCTTTCAGCATTTGATGGAGCGCAGGTTAACAGCTGGTTTTCGCAAGGCAGCACTGTAGCAGGCAGACACCACTCTGGTCTTCAAGCAGCAGTGGGAGAACAAGTGTGCAAACCAGCCACCACTATTTTTAAGTCAGTGTGTTTAAGCCAGTCTTGCATGGGATTAGGCAAGAGAGCAGTAAAAATGCCAGTGGCTCATTACTATCCACACACCCATTTTCTGCTGAAACCGAAGCAGCTGCCTCAGGGTTAGAAAAGGAGAGTATTTTCAGGCAAAACTCTGTGTGATGCTGAATCAGTTACAGACTTGTGCCCAAAAGTACGGCATCTTCAACGCTGGCCCTGAAAATCAGAATCCATTTTCAAGAACAAACATGCTACGTCATCTGCTTGGCTCCAGTGAGGATCCTGACACATCTATTTGGATTTCTCCAGGATGTGAGCCTTAGGGTATGTGCAAGCAGATAAGGAGGCAAAGAACAGCGATGGTGAGGAAGAAGGTGAGCTGGTGCTTTAAAGCAAAGGCAGGGGCACTGTCTCCAGCATGCAGGTGCATGTGCACACTTTTGCTTCATGTTCACATGCATTTTGTGTATGCATTATAAAACTAAATAAAACATGCTCTGAACATTTGGACTTAGAGCAGCTTTTCATTTGCCTCACAACTTTATCAACACTTAAAAAATATGAAAAAAGACAGCATACTAAGAATAAGATTCAGTTCATAATAAGGAGAATCTGGAAGCAAGTATGCAGAGTACAAAGACACCTGAAAGAATATTGCTCCCTTTTTCATACAATAATTAAACATTAACTCTGAACCCTATGATATTGTTTACACATGAGCACATCAGCTGTATACTGTTACTCCTCGCACAAATGGCCAACAGTAAGATCTTGTATTTCTGTCATCAGAACCCTCATTCTTCCCAAGTCTACCTCAAAGATCTGGACGTGTTCTGCTTGTACCTGGGACACTTACAAGGACTGTGCTCAGAGAGATCTAGGAGATTTGATAACACCAAGGACTCCAAAAGCTTAATTCTCATCAAGCATCTTCTCCAGTCACTGTTTATTATTCTTATACAAGAACAAAGATACCAAAAAGGTTTGTCTTGGTTTATTTTCAACACTTCTGCAGCCTCACATTGTCAGACTAATTCACAAAGTCCATGCCTCCTGCATCCATTTACTGGCTACTAATTCCAGCCTCTCCCTCTGATACCTATACAGAGTGGAACACAGGCTAAATTCTGCACTTACAACTGAGGAAAGAAGATACAACAAATATGAAGTCAGAGCTGAGAAAACCTTTCATGCTATAAAAACAACCATAATACCTAATGTATATAGCCCTCTGAGGAGAGGTTATTAACTTATGCACATAATTACAACAAAACAGGCAAAGAAAAACAAAGATCAGTCCCCATAGCTAGGTTCAGTCCAACAAGAAAAAGAAACCGAGAAATACAGGTATTCTCATGCACATTACAAATGCATAAATTGACCATGCATCAGTACATCACGTACAAATCAGGGACTACATAAGGAACTATCAAAAGGCACAAGGGAATTGGCATGGCAAAAAGCAAATGAGCCTTTACAGTCTGCATTAGCCACTGCCACATTGCTGAATAATACATTATCTTAGAAGTATTTGGTAAGGTGATAACTAATCAGGATTATCAAAACAATGCAGCAAATTCTTCTGTTCTCTTAATTGGGCTTGCAAAGACTCCGTATGGTCCTTTACTGTTTACAGAGAAATATCACCATGGGATTTTGTACGACATTATTTATAAAAAATAAGCTGGGCTTCATGGCTGAATCTCTGTCTTTGCTGGGGATTTCAGTTCCAAATTCTCAGGGAAGGAGAACAGTTGTGTGTTCCCCTAGCCCCCATTTCAAGCGACAGTTCAAAAGTAGGAATTTCTACCCTTCTATATTTCAAGTACCCACCAGTTTATTCAACTGAAAACACATCTACTCGTCCTTACCCCACTGTTGTAACCATGACTTCGTTTTTGAAAAACAGGCCTCATCCTATTGAATGCCACCAAACATGTACCTTATTCTTTAGCTCAAATATATTTTGCATGACCTTACATGAATTGCTTAGATAAAAGCCATTTTCCTTCTAGTTTTGTTATTTTAAAGTGCAGATGCATTTGAGTCATTTTCCCCTTTTGTTTCATATCCTTAAGATCCACAGCTTCAAAGACAAAATGTCAGCATGCAGTCGATTTATTACTGAACTCTTGAAGAGACACTGAAGAATTACCTTGTCAATCACCCCAAGGACTCTGAAGGCCTTCAGTTCCTCGGCAGGGCTCCTTAGGTTCCAAGAGGGCCTTGAACTTAGTGATCCTGGAGGCTAATGGAAGATATCAAAGATTATACATCAATCAGGGTGGTACTTGAAGGAAGACTGCCTGCTGAAGCAAATGCCAGGCCGAAGGAAACTAAATTTATCATAAATCAGAGAGAGAGAAGATGAAAGGAGAAGTTTTCTGTTTGTCCTTAGTACGGGGAAAAAAAACAACTTGCAAGTAAATAAAAATCAAGATAACACTGAAAAAAAAAATTAAAAGAAAAAATAATTAATTTTTATATTTTCTATGCTTAATGGAACCTGGCAATCGATTACTCAATTCTTTCCCCATCACAATAATCAAAGCCTTACAGGTATTCTGGATACAAAATAATTCAGACATCACTGAGGAGGAGAAAGCAAATTAGAGGCTTTTTAAGTCTGAAGAACATAAAATACAGAATTATAAACAGGGTTCTCTTGCTCTCTGGTGAGCTTTATGAAATCCTTTTAATGACAAGGTGCACAACAGAAGCGATTCCTAAAACTGCCTTCGAAAAATGTAGCTAACTATGTACCATTAATCTAGAAATTAACATCATAGCAAAATAATTGTCAGGTGCTAACTATTCAAGTAATTAATACTCATAGATTTGTCTGTGCTATGTTTTGTAGTTTCTTGGGGCAAACTCAAAGCCTGCATGTCAGAGGAGGTAACTACGTTTCAACTGGAAGTCTTCTGGGACAAAGATCAACCTCTTAAGCATCGCATATACCTCTGGCACCTTAACAAGCACTTTCAGAAGTTTCTAGTTGCCAACTGACAGAATTCATTAGATCCTCCTCCAAAAATTCAACATGTAGCTGCTACTAGAACCACAGACCTGGATCTGTTCCTCACAAACAAGGTAACTTCATTTGCAGAGTTGTTGAATGCCAAACTCCTTTTAAGCATAACCCGACCTCCCCAAGCACACTTCTATTGCACAAAAGTAGAGGAAGATGAATCTCCTTGATTTTTAAGCTTCTAAGAGGCAAAAGCTGTTTATCTAATTTGTCACCATCCTGAGGCAATATTTAACAAATATGTCACAAAGGAAAACTGCTGGTAAGCAATTATGCTGCAGATGAAAGGAGGAGGGTAACAAAAAGTCAAAAGCTTCATTTGCCTTTACAAAGAAGGCATTTATATTATAAAGAAAGTGGCAGGCTACCTCTGCCTGCAGAAGGCCTTCAGCAGCCTGTCCAAATGCTCAGCATGCTGCTCAGGTATCCCAGGATCTTCTCTCCTGGGGCTAGGCCCTATATGTTTTGAAACTATTTCCTGGCTACACTCTGAGCTGCACAGCTGGAGTTACCCAACTTCGGACTGGCATCACCAGTTCCCTTCCCACCATCCCCTCTTGGCTTGAGCGTGCTAATTTCAAGTATAAAAGGACAATGCTGGCCTCTGCAAAGACTCAGCAGCTTGTGGCCACCCCTTGCCTTGACAAGGCTCTAGCTTTGCAAGCTACACAATGAAATATGGCAATAGCTCTTGCCTCAGCTTTGGCTTCACTGCCAGCAGTTAATAAGAGCAGAGGGAGAAAGAGAAGTACTCCAGCAGCCAAGCAAGAGGAAGAGCCTCTCACGTTAACCTTTATTAAGGTAAGGGCACTATCCCTAGCCCAGAGACACAAGCACTTTTAATGGGAATTATTTCACTGCTGATGCTGCCACCTTTGACAGCAGTCACCACAGAATCACAGGATAAAAAAAAAAAGCACTTCCAAGAACATCAGCACAAAGCTACACATCAAAATGCAATCTCCTCTCACCATTCAGAGGTTTGTGTCTGACACCTTCAGTAACTATCCACCCATAGCATGGCCAGACCCTCAACTGCAGCAAGAAGATGCCTTGTTTGGAAGCAGATACCGCTGGCCTGAAATGTGAGGCTCCACACTATGGGTGTGAAAGAGCTTCCAGCCCTCCTGGTCTGGCAGAACATTCTGGCCCCTTCCTCATGCTGCACCAGGAGAAAACCAGGTTGCATCTCTGCATGCATCTGAACCAGACAAAGCTGTGGTGTGCTTCAGGTGGCCCCCAGCGATCGCCCACTGGGGACTGTATCTTCCCTGAAGTTAAGAAACACCTTAGATGTGACCTTGGAAGCCTTAAGACTGAATTTCTTATTTTATGTTAGATTTATATCTCACAGAACTACAGCAGTATGTTTTCTTTATACTTCATGTAATTTTCATGCACATTTAATGAGAATTTTAGGAAGTAAGATATCTGATGAACCACGAAGAATAAAGACTGCTTCTCCTGTTTAGGCTTGTATGTACCTCTTGTTACTAAATTGCTTTGAAAATAAAAATAATTGACACTTTAAAAACAACAGCTTTTATAATAGTGCAAAAAGAAACAACTCTGAATTTAAAAAATTAGGTGTAAGTAGAATCTGAAGTAATTTCAAAGAGTGAAAAAAAAAGGCATTATAAAAATACCAACAAAGTTAAAACGGACTCACAGCCTGTACCTCACAGCCTGTGCTGCACCTTGCAGCTGACAGCTATGCAAGACTGCAGCTCTCTGATGGTCAAGCCAGTGTGATTCGAAGGCTGTTGCTGCAGCTCCCACTCAGGCTTGGAGGTGGATCCCCAGAGCTGTTACTTATAAAGAGGCAGATGAGAAAATACAGATTGAGAATCTGCAAAATTGCCTGCTGCTGCCATTACACAGCATTCTTGAGCATTTGTTGTCAAGAAGGCCCTTGAAGCTGCTGTGTTGTGCCAGAAGAGGAAGAGAAGGACAGCATTTGCTGCAGCTTGTTTTTCCAGAAGGTCTACATGCCTGTTTGCAACCTTCAGAAGCTGTCTCCGTATCTCCTACGGGTCACAGCAAGGCTTTTCTCAATGTTTACGAGACCTTGTCAAGTGAGTTCGCAGTTCACGGTCAGTCACAGTTGCATAAGTTCCCTGTGCTTTTTTTCAGCCTTAAGAAATCTTCTATCCCTCCTTCAGCCCTCTACCCATAACCTTTTTTTAACAGTGCCAAGGGTTCTCCAAATACCTCCTCTTGTGCTCCTCACTTCACCACTCAGACTCGCCAGCAGCAGGGTGGTTGCTAAGGATGCTATCCTTGAGGGCTACACTGGTGGCTTTTTGTCGAGGCAAGAAAAGTAACAAACTGCTGTTGTTCTTTGTTTGGTTTCCATGGCATCAAAGAGAATTTTTGCTTCTCAGCTCTGAAATGCCAGGCCTTTGCCTCTAGGGAAATCTGGTCTTCAAAAAGGCAAAGGTCTGGCATTTCAAGCCACAGAAGAATGGCTCCCTACCCTCTGCCCTAGACCCCGAGAAAAAAGCCACCGTGCCTTACCTTCAGACGGTGTTCAGATAGCAAACAGGTAACCTGGGGTACATTTAAGCAGGCATAGTCTTTTGAGACTGTTGCACATGGTTCAGCACATGGCTGGCAGCCCAGGCCTTTGGGAGACATGAGAGGCTGAGGGGTGCAGGACAATAATTGAACCTGCACTTCTGAGCTTACCTCTTCCCTTGCTCGACATTTTTCTGGCCACATGGATGAGAAAGAAGTATAATGTCATATTTAAGAAGGATAGGGGAGCCTAGTTTTGATGCTGATCACTGGGGTCATTCCTTGTAAGGGCACAAAAGGAAACACAAAGCTATCTACACCAGACGTGGGTGACAAAGTAGTTCTGCCTGTAACATCAGGTCATGAACGAGAATCTTGGCCCCGAATGTCCCTGCTTGCTTATTAGTCAGACCTCTTCCTCCAAGGTGCACGTAACCTCAGCACCCCCACTGCCCATGAAGTTCCCTGCACTGAACCATGCTTCCCAGCACAAAACCACACTCTGCTAATCGTGATATAGGTGCAGGTACTGCTACACTACAGTATTTGTCTATCATTTTCTTGCAAACCAATTTCAGTTATATGGTTCAAACTGTGCTGGGCTACCAGGTGTAGCAGCACTTGGCCGTGCTTCTAGGAAAGGTTTCCTACGTGTGCTGTGGTTCTTCTCAGACTTCAGTGTTCCTCCAGCACAGAAGAGTTGACCTCTTTACAGATCCACGCGGGGAAAGAATGTATCGTACAGCGTTACTTAAACATCTGCATCTATAGCCTGTCCAAGCACCAGCATTTGAACAAGAGGTGGTATCAGTCTGCATGACCTACAGCAGTAGGAGATGCTAGAGGTAACAGACTAGCCTTGCCCCAGCATGACCAATGGCATGTAAATAGCAGTTAGAGAAACATCAAACTGGTGTGAAGTGATGGTGCAAGGAGGCATACACACTAACTTTGTACACTACAGACAATTTCTTTACCAGAAGAACACAAAATAGCTCCAAGTTTCCACTAGCATCTCCCATGAATCACATCGGGGTCAGTCATGCAGGCAGTGATAAGTGCACTGAAATGACCTGCACCTGTGTACTGCACAGACTTAGGTAAAACAAAGCCAAATCATGGAAACAGCTTTTTTTGTAGAAAGGAGAATAAGCCCAGTGCAACATTTTGCTTGTGCAAAGTCAGATTTGCCCTAAACTTGTCAGTTTTGAGTTTCAACACAGAAGGAGAATGGTTTTCTGTTCTCACAGCTTTTTTTTTTCCTTGTCTTATTCCCAATTAATCCTGCTTTCCTTTGGATCTGCAAAGAAGGCAGGGGCCTTATTCAGTACAGCATAAAAGAGGAAATACTTTACCTCTCAAGTTCACATAAAAAAAATGCAACCCATTTCTTCCTCCTTGCCAACCACAATTAGTTTTTAAACTTATAAAAAGGCAAAAATAGGTTGCTCATGGGTTTTTTTTTCTTGTTCTGTGGTTTCCAAACACACTGAGGTTTTCATTCAATATAGATTCTTCCCCGTTTTCAAGGGTGTTTGACCCAAAGAAAGACTACCTAGTAGGAGTTCATATCAGTCCAAAATACTAAATTGTTCAAAGTACAATTCACAGCAGCAGCAAGACTCCAAATCTCACAAAATATATCCCAGTTGAAACATTCTTAAAATTGTACTTGTGGGCTCTAAATATGAAAAAAGCTACCCTTCAAAATCAGTGTTTTTTGCTTTTTTATTGACTTACTAGGCAGTCAGATTTCATAAGGCTTCCTATTTTTGCAGCAGTGGCCACCTTAAAGCATTTTTAGATCTGTGCAAAATAAGCAGCAATAATCTTCTGCCCCTTTTGTCTTCACTTGATATAAGTGTAGAGACAGGATGTTGGTAACTTTTATATTTACTACAATAGGGTGGTTATTGACAATCACACACAGTTTATCAGGACTGCAGTAAAAGTCTAAGGTAAGAAGAGGTAAGCCCCAAAGGAACTGTCTGGAGAAGGTCAAAGTAGAAATTTATTGAGGAACAAGCTTTGTTTGTCTTTTTGCAAGGGTGTTTGTGCTTAAGAAGGTGGGAATTTCTACAGAAACACCTGAAAAATCAAGAAGCAGCTGATCACTCAAGCATATCCAAGAGAGACATCTGAATGGATCAGGAAGAATCTTTGGCCAGTTAAGTATTTATTTTGTAAGAAATTCATCTTATCTTCCCTGACACGTGCTTGACTCACTTCTGATACACCATTATGTGCTAGGCTAAAGAAACCAACAGCCTTCTCACTCCTACAGGACTGAGCAATATTCTCATGGGAAAGTCAAAAGAAACGTTATGTTTTAGTGTGGTTTTTTGCTTTACTTTTAAATTCTTTAGCATGATTAAAAATGTTCACATCATAAGCTGTGAGGAGAAGGAAAGCATGTGAAAAAACAGGACTGCATTAAATCAAGAACACTTCATAATGCTATGAAATGCAATCAACAAGAATCAGAAGAGAATGGCAACTTAACTAGAAATGTAACATCAAAATACTCCTCAGGCCTCCTGAAAGAGAAATTCTAGACAGTTTTTTGAACCTCAAGCTTGAATATGCTTTACTAAAAGACAGGACAATTTAGTTATACCAAATTCTGGTTCAGAAGAAAATAAATTAAAGCCTACCATAGAAACAGATGCATCTTCAGAGGATTTATGGTAGAGACTGGAAATTTTTTCAGCACGCATAAGGTATTCTGCAGTCTTCCTTTTCACTGCTTCTCGACGAGTTGGACTTGATTCACCTCATGGAGAAAAAGGAAGTTATTTTTTCTCTAGAGAGAGATACTAAGTAATCAAAGCACATGACTACTTTGATTCTACCTTTTTTATTTCCTTTGGGTTATTCATAATCAAACCTAGAGACATGCATCTTATAAAAAGCAAGTACTGTGATCTTAAGAGTTCTACAAAAATAATAATTTAAGCCTTGCTATAGACTAAGGTAAATAAAAAGTCTTACTTCATTTTTCTGCGATCTAGTACATGTTCCTACGGTAATATAAGTAAGAACTGAAACTAACCACTGAGCTGAACATTGTGCCCCCAAAAAAGCTCAATTAGGGAAGACATAATGAGGTGTTTACAACAAAACAATAAAGAAACTTGTTTTTTTCCCTGGTGTTTCTAATATGAGCTTTCCTAAGTATAAAGAAAAGCCAGAAATGCTATAAATAGCCAGAACACAACATGAAAGGCACCAAGAACTCTTGCTCACAGCTTTCCAATGCTGGCTGCTCCTTGCCTTTTGGCTTGGTGTGACACAGGAAGAAAGGAAGACACACTTGCGCTAACTACTTGACTTCCCAGATGGCTGAACCACCACGGTGTTATATCTAATGTAACCAAACTCTTGCAGAGGTGAGAATCCTGTGATTCACATCATGAGCAGCATATTGCTATAATAGACTCAATTTGTGACGACAACACCCAACCATTCAACCACCAAGCAAAGAATTTTTATAACGGAGAACTGAGATTACCATGCTGAAAAATAGTTACAGACAACTGTCCCAAAAGAAGTCAGAGCAATAGCTTTGAAAAACCTAACTTTTCATATAGCCCTGACAGTCTCTTCCAGCCATAAATAAGGCCATCCGAGACTTGCAGAAGCAGTCTTGGCTGTGATGAGCTTCTGCACTGACAGGTGCAAGCCAGCGCCTCTTGCAAACCAATGCTCACACAGGGCAAGGAACTGCAAGGACATCTGACGAGCAGCTACTCAACATGAAAGACAAGGCAAGGAACAGGAGAGGTAATAAATCAAGCACACAAATACATAAACCCTAACCAACAGCAGATAACAGCAACGAAGACTAGAACTCATGAGATAGTGATCAGTGGGCCATGAAAGGAACCTCAGAGTGCAACCTTGAAGAAGTTCAACCAGAAACTTGGTAACTGATAAGGAGGAAAAAAAATGGGGGGGGGGGGGGGATTATTGTGGGTTATTAAGAATGAGTCTCATAAAAAAGGAGAACATTTATTATGGGATGTCTAAGGGAGAACTTACTCTGTAGACACTAGCATAACCATAACTTACTGTGGGAGGTTTTCAGGTGGGATTGTGGCAATGTGTAAGACTTTGTGTTTATGGGTAGGATTAAAGGTGAGGAAAGGGAGGGATCAAGGTGGGGAGGGGGGGGCACAAGCATGAGAACACACAGGTGGGAATTACATGGGCAGACTGTGTGTAAGCAGGCTGCTGGTCAATAAGCTTGTCTGACTGAGCCCTGTACCTGCCCACCGCTGTCTTACCTTCTTATTAAACTCTACTCCCCACTATTCTCCGCATGAGCGTGCTCATTATTCTCTGTGCGTAAGATATGACAACAAACTTCAAGCCAGATAAGCAGGTAAGTCAGACAAAATGTCTGAGAGCTGGATCATGGAGCTGGGGGACAGCCAGCAGATAGACCTGACCAGCAGGTCTTTCCCTGGCCAACAATAGTTCAAAAGAGGTTGGTCTGTTCATGCTCTCTATGGTTATGTAGGTCTCTCTAAAGGCAATATCCTTCTTCCTTTGTCAATCTGTCTGTGGTCAATCACATCCATACAGAGTATGTATGCACACATGCAAGCCCCTCTCACAAATCTGCACTCAGCTTCACTACTGGTAGGACCCAAAGAAGGGGTAAGCTGCAGCCACATCTCTCCAGCAGCTCAGGGCAGGAGGAATCACTCCGATCCTTCAGTCAGCCACATCTAGCTTTAACACCAATTCCTTACTAAAGGAGGACGAGCAAATTGTCTGACCAATTTTCCCAAAACTCTTGCAAGACGGCAGATGATAATGAAAAGATTAAGTGCAAGGTCTCTAAGTTCAGGGAGAATTCCTCTGCTATAGGCTCTCAGAGCTGCTGTTTTCCCCTACCCCATGCAAGACGGAGCGAATCATTGCTCTTGCTTTTAACAATCTTTAGACTCAGAGAGCAAAGAAGACAGAGGCTCTTTTCCACTTTATGTTGTCATGGCCTACTACTAATCATTTTGTTAAAATAAAGACTCCCTCTCCTTTTCACATCATGACTACAAACTACCTAAACACACAGAACCATCACACAGACAAGTATAAGAAGAGATTTACAATCTACTCCAAGCTCTGCTGTAACTGATGTATTGTAAATCTTAACATCCAACTCACAGCAAGCGGGAAAAGTGACTGTCATCTTCTTGGACAGAGACACACAGCCCTACTCTCCAAACACCTTGGATGACATTTGGTTTGGGAAGAAGCTGGACAGTCAAAAATTCAGTGCACTTTCAGCATACGTTATTATGGATATGTAACAATTTCTCAGTAATTTATCCCATTCTAAAGACAGAGAGGACTTTGTACCAGGTCCAGCATCTCTAATACCAGCCTCCACTTGGTAGGACTCATCTGGGGTAATTCCCCTAGATGAGACTGCCAGTCTTAGTCCAATCTAGGATAAAAAAATAACCATAATAACACTCAATTGTTTGAACTTGGATTTGGCTTTATCAGAATAGAACAGATATACAATATTTTATAAGTGTGTGTTGCAATTTTTTAAAACATGACTAACGCTCTTGCTTTCATCTCTACATTTAATCTTACAGCACCATTAAACTTCCTTATGCCAGTCCACTGGTGATCACCCACATTCTCTGAGACACACAAAATGGTAGTCGCTCCAGGAAAACAAGTCATCTGGCACAGCAACAGTAAACTCCTCGGCCAGCGTTTTCTTCAAGCAGACTGGTAGAAAATTGCCAGGTTAGTGTCTATGGCTATCATAAGAGTCAAGCTTACTCTTTAAATGTTAGTTATGTGTATTTAGTTGGGATGTTTATTGCCTTTTTTCAATGCTTCAGTGATTTTACAGTAATTAACGCAAACAAGCTAGGATGACCCCTTAGAGCTGTAGTTCTCCCTACTTTCACAAGACATTAATTTCAGTTTTCTTTCTACTTTTCCTTCCCAAGTAATTTGTTAAATAACATTCGCAAACTCTTCACTCATTATAATCTTCAGCCATAAAAGAGACTGTGGATTCACAAAACATTCACTCAGCAAGTTCTTGCATCTTATTCGTGATTAAGATCATTAACAGTTCAGTCTCTGAATACTGTAACAGGTGCATGTTTGAGAACTGGCCTTATGGAAGTAGGATTTTGGCTTTTTATTCTTTGTATTAGTTTAACTAAGAAAATTTAAAAAGCTACACTCCAATACAAATTCCCATTTAAACAGCCAATATCTCAGAAAAATCTGTAAAGAAACACAGGATAGAAATTAAAAAAAAAAAAAAAAAAAAAAGAAAAAGATGTTACTAAAAAAGCCTTAAACACAGGGTGATGAGTAATAATAAAGACCCCATTAAACTAAAAATAATCTCTAGCATTTATGTCCAATTTCAGGTCATAGAACTCTTCACTTAAAACCTAATAAATCACTAAAACACAGTACTAGAACAAATCCTTATATTTGACAGATGTTAAAGCTGTGATGCAGACTTTATGTATTTTTTTCCTAAAGGCAATATTGCATTTTGTTATGGGATAATGTTTTCAGTTACACAAAATGTGTACTCTTAAAAGAATCCACTAATTTATTCCTAGTTAAGACCTTTTGATTTAAACACTGTGTGAACATACTGAGCTCCTATTTCCATTCTGTGGATAGCCCACAATAATCTAAAGAGGTATCTTCTCTTTAATTACAATTTAAACTTGAAAGGCATTTTTCTTTAAATGGCAGCAAACAGGAAATGTTTAAACTGTGTCAAAGCCTTTGATGAATCTTTACAACTGCTCATAAAAGATCATCCTGCTTAAAATAATATTGATTTTTCATTTATTTTCCTAGATACTAGAAGACTTATGTTTCATCTGATCAGGATCAAAGCTTCTCCCCCCTCCTGATCACTGGGATTAAATCAGCAATGTCATTTTACATGTTTAAAAACGACACTGCTAAAGCAAGATATAAAAGTGTAGCAAGGCTGATCATAGAGACCTTAGAATAAAAACCCCTCAAGATTCCCCATCTCTCTCCCTCTCTCTCCCTCTGCATTTGCTACAGAGCAGCTGTGCCTCACACAGATTCACATGAATGAAAATATTAAGGCGAGAAACCACCCACTTAGTTTATTTTCCATATGACTTTCCTGTAATTATTTTGTAAACTGTTCACACAACAATATATAAAAACATCTGCAAAAACAGGTAATTAATGTGTCAAGCCAAACTAATGCATTTTTTATGGTGTCCATGCTTCGTCAACTGTAATTATAACTCTTTTTAAGCAAATGATGATGTGTTTGTTGCAATGTGCAAGTGGTTATTTTAGATGCTCTGTTTACTATTACTGCAAACAGAATATAAAAACTCTACAGCGACTTTGTTGCACATATAAGCCTTCATCTACACAAGCACAAGCAGGATGCAGCCTCATTGTCCAAAGGCTTTGTCTAGTTCAAAGAAATAAAAATATCTTAAAATGAAAATTGGCTTTGGAAAGGATGACCAGGCCACCCACTGACCAAAGGAAGAGTAGCCAGGACGTTAGGACAGCAGCCAATGATTTAAAATTTATTCTTTAATTTTCATTTCTAAGGACAACTCAGCTACAATATATTTACCAAAACAGACATTCCTAACAACATTCAAGTTATCTTGAGGATTTGATAGATGAAAATCACAAATATCAGAATAATGGTGCCACTCAGTTCATCTGTGACTCGCCTGCTTGTCCTCCCATAGTCCACTGATTT